TGCCTGCGCGTTCGAACGCGCTTCGAAACCCACTGTCAATACTTCTCAACTCTGAAAGGAACACACATCTAATGACTCATCCCAACGTCTCTCTCCTTTCCTTCCTGTTCATTTTTTGTTCCCACAGGGCTCTTAGGTTGGAGGCCATCGCTATTAGTAACAAGAAGCTACTAGGGTGCTCCTGGCATCGCTACTAGGAGCAAGGACGCTACTAGGGGCTCCTGGCCTTACTACTAGGAGCAAGAAGCTCTTAGGTTGGAGGCCATCGCTGCTTGTTTGTTCTTTTTCCGCTTGGACTCGCCGGGCGATTGCGCACGATCGCGCCCGAGCGTGGGAACTTCCACCGGCAGCGGTGGAACTTCCGGTGTGGGCACTGCGTCACCTGGGGCGTCGTAGTAACCAAAAAAATATTTGGTTCTCTTTCCTTAAATGATCCCCTTTTTTCTTTCTGGAAGATCTTCACAGAACCTATGAGTACTCCTATGAGTATACTTGAGCTTTTGGGCTTCCCCTTCTCCATTTTTGGGCTCCTCACCATCATCCCAGCGTGACTTGCGCCTGGCCATGCCGACGAATCCGATCCGATGACTTCCACCGATTGTCGTGCCTTTGGAGAGCTGCGACTCATCGGAAAACGCGTCAATGCCAAAGAAAACAGCTCTAAAGAAAGATGTTCCACCAGCGAGCAGCATGTTTATGGTTGTTTCTATATCATTTCTTGTTTTACAGTAGGAATTGTTTTAAACCCAACATCTTGCCCCGCATGAAAGCATCTGACATACCATGTGCGGGCTGACTTCTTTGGCGCATCAGCTGGAAGATCGACGGGATCTGGCATGCCAACGCCCAGCCTGGCGGGCCACGAAACGCTCGTTTTGGCTTCCAGCGCGGGGTATAGCTGCAAGAAAAGAAACGTTCTTTGCGGTGCTTAGGTCGTTGTCTTTTTTGTTTCCTTGACCAAAAACATGTGGTTGCAGGAACTCGTGGACATTCGGAATTGGATGTGCTCGAAGAAGTGAGATCATCGTTCGAGGAGCACAAGGTAACCTGCCAGGTCGACTCAGCTCCAAGGGAACCTGCCAAGGCTTCTCGCCCAAATCCGCTATTCCGCGTCGAAACATGGTGTTCTCATTGCAAACTCCGAGATCCGTGGCTCTCATCGTTTCCAGGATTTGGCCGTAGCTTTGAAGAATACTTCTCTCTAACCGGGCACAGTTTTCCACGTATTTGCTTTAGAACTCCTTCTTGCTACAGTACCAAAGGTCGAAGTGCCACGAAAATGCACCCCCTTCTTCTGCACCAACGACGACGCGCGTGTGTCGACACAAAGGAAACATGCCGTTGGGCACTGAGCAGGGACTTGGCCGCAAGGCTCGCCGCCTGCAGAACCGAGTAGACGAGTGAAACGACGCCAAGCGAAGGGCCGATCGGGGCAAGGTCCGTTTGGAGTCTTAGGAGCAGGGACGCTACTAGGGCCTTACTACTAGTAACAAGTGCCTTACTAGTAGTAACAAATTAGAATTAAATTAGAATTAAACTAAATTAGAATTCGAATGAAATTATATTAGAACTAAATTAAAGTTAAATTAAATTAGAATTGGAATGAAATTATATTTGAATTAAATTAAGTTAGAATTGGAATAAATCAGTTAAACTAAATTAAACTAAATTAGAATTAAATTAAATTAGAATTAGAATTAGAATGAAATTAAATGAGAATGAAAGTAAATTAGAATGAAATTAAATTAGAATTAAAGTAAATTCGAATGAAATTAAATTAGAATCAAATTAAGTTAAATTAAACTAAATTTGAATTGGAATGAACATATATTAGAATTAAGTTAAATTAGAATTAAAAAAAAATACGTTAGAATTAAGTTAAATTAGAATTAGAATTAAATTAGATATAAATTAACTTAGAATTAGTTTAAATTAGAATTAAACTAAATTAGAATTACATTAAAAATATAATTAACCTAAATTGGAATTAAACTAACTTAGAATTAAATTAGAATTGGAATTAAATTAAATTAGAATGAGAATTAAACTAAATTGGAATTAAATTAGAAATGGAAGGAATTAAATTAAAGGGCGCTACTAGGGGCTCCTGGCATCGCTACTAGGAGCAGCGAACGCTACTAGGGCAATCATGCAAAGAAATTGATGCAAAAAAGAAAGAGGAGAGACGTTTTGAGCCATACGCTTGTTCCCTTGGATTGGTCACTCTGCATTAGCGTCCTTTTCCTCGGAAGTTTCTCACTGTTATGAGTGACCCAATCAGTCATGTTTCAGTAATGAGTGACCGTTTTTCTTTTTCAGAAGGAACAACTACCCTCCCTGCGGCAATCATGGAAGTGGACAACCCCCTCTTGGTAGAGGAAAGTAGTCTTCCAAGGGGCCACTGTCCACTTCCATGATTGTTTCAGGGAGTGTATTCATGGCGACCGGGCTTTGGACGCGCTCGTTTTTTCAAAAGCCACGCTGTCTTAACCCATTCCAAAAGCCACGGACAGAACATGGTCTGACTCACAAAGAACTTTGATCTCAGCATGCACTGAGGTGTGTTATCATCTGAAGAGTGGTGAGTGACCTCTGTTCCGAAAGTTCATTCCCAACTTCACTCGCGCCTCGTGGGCCAATGTGGGCTCTTCCCCTACACCTAGGCAGTCTAGAGATGTCTCGAATCAGTCGAAAATAACACTAATTAGAATAGAAACAATAAGCTAGTAGTAACACGTGCATCGCTTCTAGTAACAAGTGCCTTACTAGTAGCAACAATGTTTGCTATTAATTCTAGTTTTTCCTTCAGCTTCTGACTCTCAATGCGTCCCTGCGTAGAGCTCCCCGAATCCTTCCGAAGCACCTGACTTCAAAAGCAGCATCCAGCTGGCAATACTGTTCGACAGAGTTCTGCATCGAATACCCTACAAATAAGGTTGATCATAGTTGCTTGACCTGTAAGTCCTTGGACAACTTGTGCTCTATTCAGGTGGGTTCTATGCATTAACCAATCTCAGCATGGCAGTTTCTGTCAAAATGCAGCTGACAAGCTGGCCAATATGAAGGACTTGACGGCTTGTCTTTGGGTCTCGGTCTCCACACCAGGCAGCTGGTCATGCCCTTGTTGTCTTTGCCAAGGCCCTGCCCCTGAAAGCATGATCACGAAAAGCCACATAAACATCAGAACTCCTTTCGACTTTCAACCTTTCCTTTTCTTCGTGCCCATTTAGTGCCCTCTTTTCTATTTCTTTTCGGACCAAATGAATAGTGCGAGCGCTTCTTCAAGGAAGCACCCCCCCCGCCGCCCTAGCTTCCTTGAAGAAGCGCGAGCTATCCTGCGTCCTGGGTAGTAGTTTAAGTAAGCTAGTAGCTACCTCTTCTACTAGCTATCTAGCGGCTAACCCTCCCCCCCACGGGCTTTATAAAAAGATGTCTTCCGGTCTTCAGCCTTGGCCCAGCCCCACTTCTCCATCATCCGTTTGCCAATGTCCATGGCGGTCTGATCAGTACCTCGAGACAGGATCCGCCGCGATCGAGTACGAGAAAAAAAGAAACAGCAAACAAATACACAAAGAAAGAAAGGACATACTCACAAACTCACAAGTCTTGTCTTCAAGTGATTGAACACACAAACACACATTGACATCTAGCCAGCATGTAGCACATGCTGGCCTTCTGGGATTGGATTTTGGTTCTGGATTGGTTGGAAGAGTGGATACAGGTGTGTCATTGGTGGAGATCCTCTAGTTGAGGCGCGGGCGATAGGTGGAATCACCGATTTGGCGTGGACATGTGCAATCGCCCAGTGGCGTCGCTGGGCTCTGGGGTTGCTGTGACGTGTGGCTGCAAGGCTTTCGGTTTGAGCTTTTCGGTTCCGTGTTTGGAAGGCTTTCGGTTCCATCTTCTTTCTTCGTCTTCCACACGTTTGTCCCGGTCTGTCGGCTCCAAACGAGAGATGTGATCTGACACCATGCTGCAGCACCACGCTGCATGCACAAGTGTCTGGGAAAGAACATCTGCCATTTGTGTCATTTCTTCTGCAAATAACTCTTAGGTTGGAGGCCGCTCTTAGGGTGGAGGCCATTGCTATTATATGGTGTTTTCAAAAGGTTTTACCTTTTTCTGCAAATATTTCTTGAAACTCAAAACGTCAGGACTGAGTGCCATGTCTCGAGGTCTTGTGGACAGGTATGCAAGAGCCAAACAGCAAGCAACATGAGGAACTGGTCACAGCAAATTCGTTGGACTGACGAAAAAGGGCCAGAACATGTAAAACACTCTTAGGAACCCTTATTCTTTTGGTTCCTTCATATTTCCTTCAGACCTTTGTTTCGTTCGGAATTCTTCTTTTGAACGAGGCATCTGGTACTTTTCTCAGTCGGTCATCCGCAGAGGGATTGGATCATGTTGATGCTTGGATAAAGACCTTGGAACAAAGACTTATTAGTAATTGAACGTGATTTCCACGATTTTTAACAAACCATTCGCATGGTTTCTGTGTTGATTCCGGTGTTTCTTAAAAAGGAAACAACACACCGGAAACTCCGTGGCCGTCCCTGGAGCCTATCCCCACTTCCGACCGATCCGTGTGATCCATTAACAACCGAAGAGGACGACGACGTTCAAGTGAAGCCGAGAAAGGGGGAAATCATTTTTCTTTTGGTCAAAGAAAAATGAAAACCAAAACAACGCTACGTTCGGGGCTCCTGGCATCGCTACTAGGAACAAGAAGCCATTAGGAGCTCCTGGCCTTACTAGGAGCAGCGGACGCTACGTTCGGGGCTCCTCTCCAACCGATCGGACCACCGCGGCTTGATGTCGAATGCTGGACCATGCTGGACCTGGTAGCTTGAAAAAGCAAGTCAGCCGATGTTCTCGTGGGAACCACGTTTTCAGCAACCTAAGAGCAATGGCCTCAGTATACTGACGTGAAAAGGAACCTCTGTGAACCCGGTCGTGAGCAGTGTGCTCACACTGCACCGCACGGGGCCGACACCTTTCTACACGCGCGAAGCTGCAGTCTCGAGCAAGGCTTCACGAACCTGCGGGGACCACTGCTTCACATCGACAGCAAACCTGACGGAAACTGGATTCATGAGCTAGACAGCTAGACAGACCCCTAATTTTGGTGAAAGAATTCTGCACACAATCTTTTTTTGTATTTACAATGGTTGTAGGCAGTAGGAAGACATTTGCAGGTGCCACTTTGTCTGATCCTCTGTCATGTACCCGTCCAACTGTCCAACGGTCATCCAAGCGAGCACCCAACCCATCCCCCGCTGCCTGGGCGATTGGTCCCAGCGCATAGGCACCAGAACGGAAAACTCCTTACTGAAGTTCTGTTGGACGGAATCAGTTGAAGGTGAGGTCCTTTTGAAGCAAGGAATACACAAAGGAGCGCAATCTGATTGATATCTAGCGCAGATCTGAGATCTTTTACGAGGATTTTTCCTATGAGTTGCTCCCTTTCGGCCTCCTTCGGCCTGTTTCGCAAGCATCGTCCCCGGCGATGCCACGATTTCCTGGGCGCGCCCACGACGCCAGCATCACGGGCGGAGGTACCTGGAGACGATCGGACCAGGGCTCCCACCGGAGGCTTTTTGGGTCCATCCAGGGGAGGCGGAGGACGTTTTCGGTCGTAGCTTCTTGCTTTCTGGTCGTAGAACATGGCCTCCAACCGACTTGCGATGGCCTCCAACCGACTAGAGCGTCCGAGAGCTACGGGCTCCTTGGTGTTGCTTGGTGAGGCCAGTGCCGTTCCCCACACCAGGATGTCACTCTGCGGCCGCGCATCGAAACGAACGTGACTCGGCTTGGCTACTCTAGGTCACTCGATGCCCTCCTCAATCTGTTCCCTGGTAAGCCAACCTCAAGGCGTCAAACGCACCGCGTACGTCCGGCGCGTCTTCCGAAGGACGAAGCGTTGACGCGGACCCTGCGTCCGGTATACGCTAGTAGCGTTTGGTTGCCCTTCCTTCATTAAGTAGGCGCCTACTGAATGAAGTAGGAGCTGGCTCCAACAAAACAACGCCGATAAAAAGAGCGAGAAAAGCCCAACCCCTTCTAGTCGTCTGAGCACCGTGCAGAAACATAATCGCATGTAGTCATGGAACTTGTCCTTCTTAATTGCCGTGGCTTCCCCACCTGTCGCTTGCTCCCGTCGTTCAGAGAGAGACGGAAGATCGGAGAAGGTCGGAGAGCGGCCAACAGGCGGAGTAGAAACTGTCAGAATGTGAAAAGAGGGACATTTACAACATGTACCCATCCTCCATGGATGGAAAAAAAATCATTGCGGACCTACAGGACCTACATACCACACATCTTTTGATCCAGCTTGCGTGCCGAACCAAAACTCAGCTTCACCCGACCCACAACCGACCGTTCCGTGGAAGTGTTGTCGGACCGTTTTGGGGGAACTGTTGGTCGAAGTGCTCGGGCACATGTCCATGTTTGTCGATGCCAGACAGCCAGCCAGTCGAGCTCATGATGTGTGCACAGCTGAGAAGATCATGATCCGTGTTTCATCCCTTTGCAGGGCTGCCTGTTCATGCACACATCATATTTGAGTCAACGATGCATTCACCTGCTTCATGACTAATAAATCTAGTGGTATGGACATAAGCAGCAACACACAGAAACGACATGCGCATACCTGCTAGATCCTGCTAGACTATTCTCCTCTGTAGCGCTGCGGAGCTAGGCAGCCTCTTGCTTCGGCCCGGATTCACGGATTTCGGCCCCGAACTTGATCTACGCTACGAGTAGCATATTAAGATCTTCAATAAGATCCTGTGGGACAAGCAACTTTCTGAAAAGCAGCTGCAAAACCAACCTCTTTTTGAGAACGTCCACTGACTCATGTTTCAAAAGGCTGAGGGTTTTTGCACGTAAAGCTGGGTTCACTGGGGAACCCGGCTCTTGCCCGTCTTCTTGCCTTTGGATTTGACCTCAGCCAATCACCAACCACCGCGGCAAAAAAGATTCAATGGGCAAAGGAGTGCGAACGAGCAAGCAATACGAGGATTCGGCAAATCAACACAAAATTCTGAAACTGCTGCCTCCTCCTCCTCCTCCTGCTTCTGCTTCTTCTTCTTCTTCTCCTTCTCTTGTCATCTTCCAGTCTTCTTGTTCGTGGAGCAGATTCCCAGACTTGCATACATCACCATCCAAAGACCTGCTTGCTAGACTCAACCCCAAGGCACGCATGCATTCGTACATTTTGAGCTCAGAATTCATCATTGGAACTGGTCTCCAAGCGCCGGCCGTGCACCTGCCCCCACCCCGGACCCGTACCATGGAGGGATCCGCCGGGTCTGAGCTGCGTGGCCCACACGAAGTAGCCACCTTTGGGCTCATAGACCTCAACGCCGCCCGCGGAAGCCGCTCTGAAGCGGGGGGAAGCCGGCTCTGGCGCTTCTGTGCTTGGGCAACCGCTGGGGTAGAGCGGGAAAAAAGGATTGGACTTCTTCCAAAGAGGAGCCTTGGTATTTCGTCCCCAACTCCAGTTGCAGCAGCCCGACGCTGGAACTGCTGGTGCAGTGGTAGACAGGTTGATGAATACCTTCTATCGCCGCAACATTTCACATCGATATTTGCACTTCACCCAACGCAGTGAGGAACACTGAGTGTTCCCTGTAGGTTCGCTTTCCCGAGATCTGAGCGTTCGTGGTGGTCTGTCCACCCAATACGCTAGTCAGGACAAACATCAACTCCTTGATCAAACCATGAAGCATCTCAACGCAACACCATTTGGCACAACGCAACACCGCATGGATGAGTCTTCTTGAACCGCCCACCGCTCCCCAACCGCCAACCACTTCGCCCACAAGCGGGCTCAGGCTCCCGCCTCCAGTCCAACCTCTCGGAGCTTTCTGCAGATCAATTGACACCTCTTCGGCGTGCCGATTTAGCAAACACCCGAGAGGTCTCAGCCTTGGTGTTTGCTGCGAACTTAGGTAACGAGTGCACCGCTACGAACGTCACAGGGGCATGACTACTAGTCACTAAGAAGCTACGAACGTAGCGATGCAGCTCAGTTACGGCACATGTTTCCGGTGAGAGCTCTCACCATGTTGGAATGAATAAGTCATTGAATGACTCCATCCCTAGCATTCACGAGCAGCGTCATTGGGACATTTGGACAGTCACAGCCCATTCGAGCTGAAGTCGACCGCCGCGCTCGTCGACCGCTCGCCTCTCGCCGAGGTCTTTGGAGACCTGGCACCGCCGTTGGACGCTTTCGGGCGACCAAGGAGCTGTGATGAAGCAGGTTGCTGGGCACAGCTGTTGAGGTGTCTTGAACTAGGCATCTGCCAATATGGTATAACTATATAGGTATCCCCTGCTGTTGCTAGGCATAGCTGTTTCCTACATTTAATGCTTTTCGGCTCTCAAACATGGGTCCCATGCTTCCAAAAAACACCGCTGAGGCTCCAGCGGCATCGATGTGCTTGGCCAGCGCGCCGGATCTCAGAACACCATGGCGGGAAGAAGCCAGGACACCACGATGAGACGTATCTACTGCCAGGATCTTCAAGCAGTTGGTGCTTGGTATAACAGTTGTTTCCCTTGTTTTTTGTATTTTTTTGTACCCGAAACTACGAGTTTAGCATAAGCAGCACCTCCAAATGGTCGAACACGAAATTGGGTGTGCCGTGGCTGCCGGCAAAAGACACAAAAACAGCAACTATCTCCAAACATCAACACCCAACCTGTCTTGATATGTCTGGACTCAGGGGGTTCGTTTCCTCGACAATGTCACTGGACGGTCAGGCGTCGGTCTCCACGTTGGTAAACCCACAAATCCCAAGCCTGCCCGGTGTGTTCATGCCCTGACGTGTTGCTCCAACCATCCTCCCGGGCCCTCGGTTGATCCAAAGAAAAACATCAGACCAAACTCAGAGGTCTCTGCTGGTGGCCATGCCACTATGGCAAGACTACGGTGATTTCTGACCTTTCTGCCTGCTCAACTGTTGGATACAAGACTGTCTTTGGGTCTATCCGATCTATCCTGTAACAGTGGATGATGATGTTTCAGTTGCAGGCCTTTCCACGAACTCAGGTGCCGGGCTCAACGAAATGAAGCAAGTTCATGGAGGAGAAGATCACAGGATTGTTACCTCATCGCGCACCATCGGGATAAAGGATGAAGGGCAGGTCTAAAGGTCAAAAGAAGGTCAAAAGAAAAAGGAAAGAACCAAATGACAAAAAGAAAACAAAGAGAAACAAAGAAAGAACGATAAAAATAACAACATAGAAAGGACTAAAGGTCTACGAAAAGGAACTCACAAACACATACACATATAGCAATAGTAAAGTAGGGAACCACATAACATCTCTGGACATCATCGCCTTCATTTCACTCCTCGCTGAGTGGGGCACCACTGTCGATAAAGCCGATGTCGGTCAAAGGCCTCAGTGTTCCCACCGAATCGGGTGGAGAACGAAGCCCAAATAGAAAAGGAATCCAGAAGAAACAAAACCAACAGTTCACCACTTGCGGCTTTTAGGTCTTCAAAAGCCTTAAAAATCACACACACACATAACTGGAGGCTGCTGCTAAATGGACTCTGTCTTTTCTCTCTTTGTCTTTAAAGGATTTTCCAAAGCTGGCACAAAGGCACAGTGACAGTGGGCCCTTTGGTTTGACCACCTGTACGGTCACAAACCTCGTGACGTGTTAGGCCGGTTGGCTGTCTTCCCCGAAGGGATGACAGCTAGACCTCTCAGCGATGGACTTCAACAAGGACGTGTGAGCCTGAACCCAGCCAACCTGCGCTGCGGGCGCCGGTGGGCTGGAGGCTGGAGCAACAAGCCCGAAAGCAAGCGTGGAATGCCTTTGCTTCGCTGTTCCGCAAAAAGTGCCTGACAATGGATCTACGATACATACCTATCAATGTACATCTTTATTATGACTATGGTTATTTTGGTGTTGTCATTATCATTCCATAAAATGCTATAAAATGATCTGTGAGATCCTGTGTAATATATATATATATATCTATGGCCCGCTACATCTAATGGAACATGAACTACTTTGACATATGCTCTTAAGGTCCTTATAGTCAACGGTCCCAAAACGCCTTAGTACCAGGGCCAATGAGCTTGGAGAAGGTGCCAATGGAAAAGACCCGCCTGAGCAGGACTGGACATCGGTCGGCCTCCAACCTAGTAGCGATGGCCTCCCAAATGCAACACATGACTCAAATGATGTGGAAATAACATGAAATAACAGTCTCACGTATGGACGTATGGTGCCAAGCAAGCTTTCCAGATCTCTCCAAACAACCGACCCTTGGCACAACGATCGACCCTCCGACCATGCTTCCTCCGTTGCTGCCAACCATCCACCACTGGTCGCGTCTGGGGCCCCCTGACGGGTCTTCCTTGTCGTCATGGTAAAAGAGTGGCTTCATCTGAGTTGCGAAGAACTCGAAATCCGAGGAGCTACGAATGGAGCATGTCGGGCATCGCGACTCGAACGGAGCGATCGGACGCGAACCGAACAGGGCGCTCCTGGCCTTACTAGTAACAAGAAGCTACGAACGGGGGCGCAAGTTACCCCATGTTTGGTGCCTTGATGTGGTGCCAGTATGGATCTCAGACATCTTGGGGTGCCATCGAACCTCTGATGGACTGTATAACAGGGGACCAGCGCTCAGTCACAAATAGTAGGCTCACTCCGAGGGAACCTGATCTCACGGTCACATTGGTATTTCGCCCGAAACCATTTAACCATTTTTAACATACGAGTAACTTCTTGTTACTACAGGTGAAACGATTCCAGTGAAACGATTCCCAAGGACGCTTCTTGCTACGTTCGTAGCGAACCTTGTTCCGTTTGTAGTAATGGCCTCCACCTTAATAGCGATGGCCTCCACCTATTAGCTTCTTGTTGCTCAAAGTTCCTCAGCTTGGCACATCGGTCTTCCCAAAGTTCAAGAGCTGGTAGGCCTTCGGAACTCAGCCGGTCGCCTTTTGAACACCGTGCAAACAGCTCATTGGTGCTGTACTGTTCATTGCGAAGCAGGGTACTACGTCGTCAGTGGCATCTATGTGACTGTGAAACACACTAGTGGTCGATGAGATAGAGTCCTCTTCTGACAGAAGACAACATTGATGCTTTCCTTTTCGTGCGTCCGGCTGAAACCAGGAGGTCCCATACCGCCAAAAAAGATAAAAAGACGGAAGAACACTGGACTCATCTGGGATGTGTGTACAGTGGTGTTTGGACTGTGCACTGCATCTGCCTCATCTGCGATCACAAGGAACTTGTGCTTCCTTGGATGTTGAATCACTGCAAGTTGAACAAATCTCTGAACACCAAAATCAATCAAGGGCATGTTATCCAGTCTTATGATAGCATGCAGGCGGCCTGGGCTGAACTTTGGTCCGTGAAAAGTTGCGTTCGGGAAACCGAACGTAAAACCGTGAACACACACACACACATGTCTAGAATGGCTTTATTCCTTTATTTGTTACTACCATTCTATTTTTCTCTCTCTCTCTCTCTCTGACAGGTGCTCCCTTTGAACAGCTCCGTTCGGCGAGCACCGGAGCGCTCGACTCGGCCTCCCAGGCTCCCCAACTTCGCGAGCTGCATCAGCCTCACTCGCTTCTCATTGGACATCGAATAGCCTCCGGGCGGCTGCGATGCGAACGACGAACTCTCTTCGATGCAACGACCCGGGGAAGCTCTCCGCGTGCGAGACGGAAGGAACAACGGACGAATGACGGACGTGACGGTCGGGTCGTTCGGTTCTTCCTTTTCATCTGCCTAGATGAGTGGAACGATCTGACGATTGGATATGATCACCATTTGGGCACCATTCCATTTGTGAAAGAAGTGAAACACTGGATGAGAACCACTCAAAATCTCGCTGCCGGTGCCTGTGGGATTGTGATGGATAGGCCTCGGCAGCGTTAATTTTTCCTCAAAACAACACGTGCCAAGCGACCAAACTGACGATGTCGTCAGGTGAGTCGACCATTTCACTGGAAAACACGAGTTCGGAAGAATGACTTCTCTGAGCGCTGCGCACGGTGTAGACCTTGAAGGCTCCCAACAAGTGAACAACTTCGAACCACTTGGAACCATTGTTGAACAGCTGGATCTCGTTGCAGCACTGAAGAAAGGGACATGAACATCTGAGACAGTTCTTCTTCGCGTGCAAATGCAGTCCACTTGACTTAGCGCATTCCACTTGGTGTCCCAACAAACTTCACCTTGCCTTCGCTTTCAGTGCAAACCTTGTCCAGCCTGGGTGCAACAACTCGGCATCAAATCCGGAGAACAGGTGCACTGCAAAAGGTGGTGACACGGGGTGGCTCCGAACGCTCAAGCAAATACTCCAGGAACTGCAGCGCCTCTACATTCGCCCCCGGTGCCCTCTCACCACAGGACATAAGTGGTACGCAGGGCATAAAGGGAGGATTAGCCCGTCCAACAGGATCGTTCTTTTCACCAAGAGTCAGATGTAGACTCTAATGTTCTTGACTTGAACTGGTCAAGAAGCTAGCTTCGGCATACGGAACTCGCCGCACAGTGGCTTATCTCCCTGAGATGTGCACGCATCCAAATCCATGCCATCCTCCATGATTGGCACGCCCTTCCTGAGCAGCTTGACTGCCTAGAGTTACGAGTGTCCATTCCTCAACCTACCTTTCATGTGGCCGCCGTGGCCCATGGTTTCTCCACACCATTTTCACGACAGTTCCAGGAAGCGAACAGCTCCAGGAAGGAGTTCCGTGCCATGGTAAAGGCCAAGAAATAGGTGGGTTCCTGGCACCGTTCGGTCAGAGCCGCCGGGTCACCGACGCACCGACGGCGACTCACTTGGCCGAGGATGGAGTCCATGGAGGGGATGAGGGGATGCCGTGCTCAAAGACTCTTCGTGGAGGGCCAGGAGCGATCGGACGCTACTAGTATCTCCTGGCATTACTACTAGGAACAAGGACGCTACGAACGTAACAAAGGGCATCGCTACGAACTGAACAAGGACGCTACCAATGTAGCTCCTCCCCAATGAGAAACGCCCCAAGGATAATTCAGCTTTGCATCGTTTTTCCGTGAAAAAAGTCCTCTCTCAAGGGCGAAATCGTGCCAGAAAACCTGCAAAGGTCTATGTTTACCGATCACGAGGTCACTCCAACATACTACTACTATACAATAGAAGCATACATGCAGGGTCTCCTATTTTGCCGGGTCCCATTTCTACGACCCCTCCCCTTTCCCTGCCTCGAAGACGCAAATGTCCCCAGGCTGGCGTGGTTGGCGGCTCCGGGTGTCGACTCGAGGGGTGGACTCGGTATGGCACCGGTCCACATGTGCACAGGTCGTTTTCTGTGGCAGTGCTAAGAATGTGATGTTTTTGTAAAACACGCTTTCATCATGCCGTGATGGGTTATTACATGTTATTACCTCTCGGTGCGTTTTCTGGTAGGTAGGACTTTTGCAGGTGGTTACCTGGTAGGTGTTGCCTTTAGGTGAAGCAGGCGCATCCACGGCCATGAATGCGTTCTTCGGAGAAGGGTAGTTGCAGTTTCTGACCCTTGGTGAAAGAGATGCTGTTCAGATGGTACTTGGTGCATCGCAGCGGAGCCGGACTTTGGTGGGTCCTGGAAGCACTTCTGGACCTTCCCAAAGCACAGACAACTCCAAGCAGCAAGAGCTAGCTTTTAAAGATTTGCTTCGGACAGCATGGAAGACATCTCTTCATGGAAGCCTATTATGATTAACTCGTAGAGAGCAAATTTTGTTTCCTCTTCATCTCAGTTCTCCAAAAAGATTCTCCCTCTCAAACCTGAACATGTGACTTCTTTCCAACACAAAAACACGTCGCTTGTCGCGAACAACCATGGTTGACCATCTCTTCATGTTCACACCGCCTCCCTGTCCTTCCGTGTCAGTCGGTTCGGCACCTTCCCATAAATACGGAAGCACAAATCGGTACCTGACGCTTGGCGCAAGGAGCGAACCCTATCATTACTAGTAGTAGCAAATAGCTACTAGTAGCTTCTTGTTACGTACTAGTAGGAATGGCACTTGTTACTAGAAGCGATGCACTTGTTCCTAGTAGCTTCTTGTTACTGGGAATGGCCTCCACCCTAGCGATGGCCTCCACCGTGCGTAGCGTCCTTGATGAACCCTCCGAGCCATAACCCTCCGAGCCATGACGACTTTCGCGCACTTCGCGCCACGCACGTCGAAGACACGTCGAAGAGAGGCTTCCCCAGCTGAACCGAGCGCGGGCTTGACCTTTCTTGGACCTCTTGGAAGCCGCTAAAAGCAGCTTCGAGCGAAGCCTCTGTTCACCTCTTTAAGGGTCTCCGGTTCGCTCGAACCGCGCAGTACGTTCTTCGCGGTTCGTTCTTCGCTGGGTTCCCGAGCCCATGGATGCGCCGATGGTGCTCATCAAGGTCTTGGGATCCGTGGGCCTTGGGATCCGTGGAACACCCGTGGAAAGCCGATCCCACCGCACCATGTCGGGATCATCGGACAGGTGGCCGGACTCCGGGCATTCTTCGGCTGCGACGGTTTTCCTTGAGCAAGCCATTCTTGGATATTCTTGGTACTGGTGAAGACAAAGGCAGCCGTTCCGAGTTTTTGCACACCACCGACTGCGACGAGTCCACGACTTCCTCACCGACGAGTCAACGGCGAGCGAGTGCCAGGTTTTGGGGAGTCGTTCGGATCAAAGACAAAGCTCCCAGTTCACCACCTGTGTTTTCCTGTCCGCTTCGGAACACACACCGATTGGATAGCTGGCCTTGGCCCGAGGGCCGGACGCTTGATATTGCTGCTCCAGGAACTTCGCTAAGCCCTGTGGGACGAACACCGGACATCGGCATTCTGAAAGAGCCGTGGTCAAAAGGAAAGGGACATGCATGAATCAAAGCCATGCCCTAGAAGTCCAAAGACTCTTTTTGGGACCAACTAAGTAAAGGAATGGCTTTTTCCGGTCTCCGCAAGACCAAGAAAGGGTGCAGCACCCTCAAAAGCAGCACTGAATACAGGCTAAACTGAATGTGGACTATGTAGTTCTTGCTGTGTGCGATGGCCGACTTGGCCTTTCTTCGCACATTGACTTGGCCAACTCGTCGCTTTGACAGAACATCACTCAAGTCACCGGTGACTGCAGCAAACCCCCTCTGCCGGGTGCAAAAGGTGCAAACTCCTTGACTCTTGTTCTTCTATGCTCGGGTGGAGGTTGGAGGCCATCGCTCTTAGGTTGGAGACCATTGCTACTAGTAGCGTCCTTGCTCCTAGTAGTAAGGCCAGGAGCCCCTAGTAGCGTTCTTGCTCCTAGTAGCGATGCCCTTTGCTCCTAGTAGCGTCCTTTTGGCATTTGGCGCCATGGTCGTCCCAGTGCCGGTTTCTGGGTCCGTGGGCTCCGGCAACCGAGCAGAGCGGTGTTTCCGTGTCTCGGCCGGAGGTCGTTGGTTTCTTTCGCATGCCCTGCAAGTCCAGTTGGACCTCATCTGATACAGGCCGCTGCGAGAAATCCCAAAGGCGAGACCTTTCACGTGGTGAGACCGCTTGGAGATCTTCCAACGTTGTAAAAGGGTGCTTTTTTTCTGCATTTTTTCAGGTGTCGTCTGCCACGTTTTCGTCCAAATGGCCTTGCCTGGAGAAAGCGTGGATGGCCCAGCATGTAAGCGCCGTTCGCCTGGCGTGCCGAAAAACCAAACGGTTCAACAGCAACCTGCTACGTCAGGCTCCTCAAGCATGAATATCCCACGGTGACGAAAAAACAGCAGCAACAGAACAACGCTGTTTGACGGTCTGACACAACAAAAACCGTCTGACGCGATCTAGGCCATGGTCTCAACGTTTAGCCTGTCGAGTAGCTACGGTCGAACGCATCACGCTCGCGGGAGGTGCTTGGACCGGCCTTGTCGCCGTAGTTCAGGGTTTCCTCAGACATTTCCAGTCCTGGGAGTAGCAAGAGGATGCTATTGCTAGGTTGGAGGCTATTGCTAGGTTGGAGGCCATTATGACCGTAACAAAAAGCTACGAACGGGGCTCCTGGCATCGCTACTAGTAATAAGAAGCTACTATGGTAGTACGGGTCCAAGGCCAGACAGTCTCATGACTTTCACTTTCCAAGCGCTGCAGAAAGCGGGTGGGTCAATCAAAATATGAAGTTCACATGGAGACAACATGTGGATTCTTTGAGAAGAAACCCAAGGTCCCCAATCAACTTGGATGTGTTGATCAAGGGACCTCGGACACCCTAGAATTAAGCATGTATCCTCTAGATAATTGTCACCTTTCAAGATGTCTGCAAGCAAAACACACATCATGTGTGAGGCCTTGTGAATGCTCCCCAATTTCGCACAGGACAATTGAAGAGTCACTTGAACCGGAAATCGCCTTCACATCTCTTCTGGCGATTAAATCCCCCCAGTGAGACGCAAAGCCCCCGCTGACCGAACCCAGGGGGTCGGAACGGCGGCCTGGTTGGGTCGTCTCCCCAGGTGGGAACATGTCACATGCATCTCTTGTGGAGCCACGACCCCCTCAGGTACCGTTGAATCTTTCGTTAGTTGTTTGAGTGTTGTTGAGTGGCTTTGGTGGTCTTCGAGTGGAGCGTCCAGTAGAAAAAGCCCGGGCGGTTGGGACGCACTCTTCACTGCTCAGACTCCGATTTCAACACACGAAAGAAGGACAGCTGGCCACCCGAGTGGCCAGAACCCGCACAGGGACTTCGAGAGGCCCTTCTTGTCGGACGGGCTGCACATGTGGCTCCACATATCACTCCCTGGTCTGACACCACCGTTATTAGGTTGGAGGACATCGCTACTAGCAGCAAATAGCTATAGTAGCTTCTTGTTCCTAGTAGGAATGGCCTCCAACCTACTTGCGATGGCCTCCACCTAGTAGCGTCCTTGCTACTAGTAGCTTCAAAGACCTACTAGTAGCTTCTTGCTCCTAGTAGTAATGGTTTCATATGGCTCCATACGGCTTGACACCACCCTTTGGGGGTCCTTGACTACCCACGGTCCTTTGTGAAAGCTCTCGGTCAAGGCTGCTCTCAACTCAGCTCGGCTGAGGAGTTCAGGGTGCGGCCTGAGAGGTGTCCAGGTGTCACTTGGTGAAGACGAAACGAACGGAGCAGTTTTTCAGTATACCGCAAACCAGCATCTCCAACTTCCAAATGCAGTGTCAAAGAAATCATGGACTTGGCACCGAAACACGTCCATGTGCCAGCGCTCCTACAGTAGGGCTTTCCACAAAGCAACTTTCCTTTGTCGGAAATCGAAACGCATCGCCGATGGAAAAGCACCCGATCGCCGACGCGGCGCGACCTCGCAATGTGGACACTCAGCTTCGACGTCGAAAAATGATGCGAAGTTTCAAGGCAACATCCACTGCCGTTTCTTCACACCAAGACCAGGCGTTTCCTTCCACAAGACCGGCCAGTGGGCTAAAACCGCCGGTCTCGGGCTCCAGCCATCCCTTAATGAAGTCCTGCGGTTGAGCCTCAGCGGGACAGGGTGTATTTGAGACACCGAAAACATGCCATATTCCGCTTGGTCAACACTGAGGCCCCCGTGCGCCCTTGGGATAGCCCGCCTCGGCATGGGTCTAAGACGGTCTAAGACGGCCATATGCTGCGACGAATGTCTTTTTGTCTTTCTCGCGATCTTGTCGAAACAAAAACGATGACGTTTCTCTTACACGAAGCACCGTTTTTCTGAATTTCCCGAACGTGACATTGGACGATCTCATGCTTTCATGATCGTGGGAATTCGCGCATGAGATGAGGAATAAACTAAAGGACATCCACAAGCGAAACTCACGAGATCTTCTGAGCCTCCCGGCCATGTTTCAGAGGGAAAAGGCCCGTGGTGATTCACAAAATTGGGGTCTTCTGAGCCCGAAACTGCCGGTCACGAGCCGATGCGAATAAGTGGCCTTTCGCTTCGCTTCGCGATCCCAGATCCGATGTGATCGTCGGTCCTCGTTTCAGAGAGCTGTAGAGCTGCCGAGCTGCGGTCAATGTGAACCCTGCGCCTTTTTCCGCACTGCGCTCCCTCTTCGTGCCCTCACGGGTGATTTGAAGCTTGGCCTGACGGCGAGCTCCGAATCCAAGAATTGTCCGACGCTCAAAGCATCACTTAGTAACAAGAAGCTACGAACGGGGCTCCTGGCATCGCTACCAGGAGCATTCTTGCTTCTAGTAACAAGAAGCTGTTTCTCAACAGTTTTAAACTATCTTTGTTCGAATTGCCAAGCGTTTCGTGGAAAGACTTGAACAAGGCTTGATCGATTCTTGGCAGCTTCCCATGTCTTGCCGGGCATGAAAAACACCCATGTTTTGTGGGGCAACTTCTGGAAGCAAACAGTGACAAACACGTTGCCTGGAGGTGGTTTTCTCGATTGTGCAGGACTTGGCACAACAATCTTCTGAGCAAAGCAAGCTAGCTGAAAGATCGATGGCATTCATGTCTGTGCTTTCTCCCAAACATCGGAATTTTGCATTCTTTCGGGTGAGCCGAACACCCACTCAGCCCGCTTTGCAACATTCCCTATCAAGCTACTAGGAACAAGTGCATCGCTACTAGTAACACTCTACTTGGCGCCCACAATCTCACCACCTCACACGACTCGCCTCACGCCATCCGCCCTGTTGCCGACCACCACGCGACTCGCCGACCACCGGCGGAGCGACGTGTCAGCGACCGGCCTCAGCACCGACGGTGAGCTGAACGGAGATGGAGGCGTTGGCCTTGAGCTCGATGGGTTCCTGGCGAGGAGACAAGGGAGATTTTTAAAGCTTCTGGAAGAACTCTTCAGCCAGCAAGTCTGGGAGTAGCTCTTGGTACCATGGGGAGTTCAATTTTACCTAAGGGAACTCAAACGGTGGCCCTGCTTCGATCGCCCTCGACTTACATCGCGAACGCCCGGATCTACAGGTCACCCGCTTGGTGCACCGACGTACGACGTATGTCCATTCCCAAACCTGGTCCATTCCCCGAAGCTCCTGTTTCGTATCGTGCTCGTTCGTAGGATCCCTGTATAACCAACGGATTTTTCATGAGTTCCAACTTGAGCAACGTGTAGGGGAATTGGCCTTGACCGTGTCCATCTCCGGTCCCCGACCTCGAGGAGTTGCAGGGCTTGGCACCAGCCGTTGGGTGCCTCCTTTGGCCCTGAGGACACGAAAAGACACCACGATGGGAGGATGGGAGGATCATGGGAGGACGGTGTTTTTTGGGGTTGAATCACACACACATGATGGATTTTTTAAAGCAATTCTTTACTTCTGGACTGTAAGTACGCATGATGGACTGCATGTCCCATGAAGCTCAAGAGCTTTTTCCAATCTGTTTCTTCCGGTCTCCAGATGCTTTTCTTCATCCTGTCCACCACCGTCCAGCGGAGCCGGCCGTGCGATCTGCGTGCGCCGTCCTGTGCTCAAGGTCTCTGAGTCGTTCAAAGGGATTTCGGCCCAAAACGCCACTGCATGACACCTGCAGTGCTCGCGCCGCTGGGGAGTGGACTACGAACGGGGCACCTGGCCAACCCTACGAGGAACCAGAAGCTGCGGACGAGGCGAACGGGCATCGCGAACCGAACGGAGCGATCGGACACTACTAATTAGGGGCTGCTGGAGTTGGTGCACAAAGGTGGGCACAAACTCCAACTACTTCACGACTTTTGGATTAGAAGAGTGGGACTTGGTCGACTTCTGTTTCTGGCGGAGTGCTGGGGGGAGCATGGGCCGGCACGGCACCCTACCTCGTTCTGACCCGAATGCTGACCCGAAACCACGGACTGCTCCGTGAAAGGACGGACATGCAGCCCTAGTCTGCCAAGTGGAAACTTGGAACAAAACATCGACTTTTGGGAGGTCAACAGCGCCTTCAGGGGGTCGTGAAATTGATGGACGACCATCCAAAAACACCGAGCGCGCGCGAAAAGAACGGGTGCGAGCTGATACGGTGCGGTGCCTTCCTTCACTCTCGGCCACCAACCTGGACACATTCCAGCAGCTGTTGTTTTTGTTTTGCTTTTCCGAACCCTTTGGGCCTCACTGCGAGGGAAGAAACCATCCTTGTCCAGTAAAAAGAAGTACCCTTTAGTCAGATGTCAAAAGAACACATCGCGAAATGATGGCGGTCTCTGCGGGCCGCGGGTCGCGGAAGCTGCTTGGTTGGTGTCTGTTTTCGTTGCCGATGTTACGCTTTGTTTCAACTATTTTCAACTGGGTGTCTTCGTATTCTCAGGTCGCCTTGCAGCATTTGCTGCTCTGACTCTACTGCAGGCCAAAACAGCATAAACCCACGTGCATGTAATGATATATTTATACGCAAATCAATGCACGTATCGATAAAAATGATTGGTTCAATCCTTGGGTACGAAAGATGCAAAAACAGTATCTCTCTCTCTCTCTCTCCCACTGATCCGCAGACGATCAAGATATCTCTCCCACCTGCATTGGCCTTGTCTCTCATCCAACCCAGGCAGCTTCAGGTGAAGTAGAGCTGTGGGCCTCCCAGAATCATTCCTTCCTCTCAACGCCTTGCGCCTGGGGTTCTTCGTTCTCCACACCCCAAACCCAGCGACCCCAGACGTTGAAGCGGATGTCCCCAACCATCCACGACTGGCCACGAAATGTCTTAAGCTGTTGGGAAAGGTCCGCGAATCTGAGGTGCTTCTTCAGAGCTCGGAATTGGCTTCTTTCAAAATCTTTTTTAAACAACATCCTTTTTCTGGGGGATCATTAAGCCACCTGGAAGAAACACCATGAATCGACCCCAATGCCCCCGAATGCCGCTTCCGCCTGCTCAATGGCCGCCAGGCGACTTCGCACAAGTGGCACCTTGCAGCGGTCGAGGACGGATGGCCTCCAACCTATAGCGATGCCCTGCCCACCAAAAAGGAGAGAGGTTCCGTAACATGAGGAGGAGGGGTTCCGAATGGACCTTTTTTGGAGCCGCAACACGTTCAGCGGAACCTTCATGGCATCCTGGACCCCCACTCAGAGCCAAGGCACTCCAGTACGGCTGGTTGCCCTGTTGGCACCAGGAAAGGGTTGGCAGCCTCAGTTTTGGGAGACTCCGAGAAGACCGAACAAGGTTCGGTGGACCTGGTGTAGAGCAAAATCCTTTACTTAAGTAGCTCCGGTGGACCTGGGGATTCAGGCTATGAAATCGGTGGGCGACCGGGAAGCCAAATGGGTGGATGGCATCCATGTCTCAGTCGTTCGCAGGCGGTGTTTTGGGGCCCGCGGATCCTGGCCTCATCGGGTCTCTTCGCGAATCCCCACTCAAGGGGTTTTCCCGGAACGGGCTCCAGCCGGGTTAGCCGGGTTGTTCACAGTCAAATGGAGGGCTGGCCGATGTGGTCGCAGTGGGAGAGCCTACTTTCCCCTGAAGTGGTCGAAAGCAATCCTATGGCAATCCCATATGCTCTAAAGAAATTCAAACAAACTGCTATGTTCCAGAATTCTTTCAGACTGGCACTTCCTGGAACAGCTCTGTCTGTCTGACCGGGGACCGTCTCAACGCTGGACTGAAGACCTCCGACGCGTCTGGAAGACGTACTACAAAGGGTACCGTATACTGCTGGGGATGTCCGACCTCACACTGAAAACACACCACGGCGGTGTCCGACATCGTCCCCAAGCACATCACCTGGACCGCCCGACTGCGCTCCTTTCTAGTAACAAGAAGCTAGTAGTAACAAGTGCCACGCTAGTAGTAGCAGGTGCCTTACTAGTAGTAACAAGAAGCTAGTAGTAACAAGTGCCACGCTAGTAGTAACAGGTGCCTTACGAGTAGTAACAAGAAGCTACTAGTAACAAGTGCATCGCTTCTAGTAGC